GTACTTTGACTCAGTGGCACATCCTTCTTTTTCTTAGATAACATGTCACACACTGACTTTTTATCTCAATTTTTCTTAGGTAACCGTGACGCACGTCTGGGCCCGCACGTAAGAATTTGTAGGACGATTTTGCCCCTTGGCTGTTTTGACTTGGTTGGTTCGATCAGAATAGCGGTAGATGAGACAATGATCAAAACCTCTGAGACAGAACAACGCCGCCACCCCGCTCTCCTCACTGTGCCTCCTCGCGGTGCATCGCCCGTCCCACCATCGTCGCATCTAAGTGTGGCTCCTCCCCACTCCACAATCCTCTGCACGTCTGCCCTGTCTCGCCGCGCTCCAACCACTTCGTCGCCGGCTGGAAAGAAAAAGGCATCGCCCCTTCAAGCACCCTAGCAGTCAGACACTGGCCGCTCGGACCTCCACTCAACGCTGTTGCGGCACCCTCTGATCGCCCCGGCTATCACATCATAGCAGTGCGTACATGTATAGGTCGCTGCTGGCCCCGCTGGATGGCTGAAGCGATTGTTCTGCTCGCTTGATGAGCCACGACTAGGTGAGGATCCGACAGAACGGGCGGAGCGTTAGGAGAAGAGATGAAGCGGGGCGATGCGCCGGGAGATGAGGACAACACGTCGGGACAGAGGCACGACCAGGCGATGGCGGTGGAATCGGTGACGCGTGTGAGAGGAAGCGGGCGAGGCGGCAGTTCCTCTTCTTCTCTACCTTGTCTCGTCTGCCTCTGTTTCGATAAAAACATATCGCTGGCAGAAACGATGGAAGGCCTTGGTGAGGTTTGATCCAACCAGTAAGTCAAAACGACCGAGGGGCAAACTTGTCCTATGAATTCTTACATGGGGGACTGGACCTAAAAATTAAGCTAAAAAATCAGTGTGTGCCATTTTATCTAGCAGTGAATCAAAAGTGTGACATTTTATCTAATAAAAAGGAAAAGTGTGCTATTTTATCAAATTGCTCCTACAAAGATGGTCGACGGCGAAGCAACAACTAACAGAAATGTAGGCTATAAGACACGTGAGTCTAAGAGGACAACATTTCCAACTGCATGGGAGCACGGCGGAGTTGTGGGAATATAGAAAGGAGACCGATACTTGTTAGCGAAAGAGATCCCGTGATAAGGAAGAAGAGGGCGGTGTCGGTGATTTGAAACTTCTCCCTTGGTTCGTTTGTTGTATTTTTCCATTCTACAATAACTGGTGTGGTAGAAGAAGAACTGATCTTGTGGTGAAATCGAAGATGCGCAGGATGAGGATTGGAGAAAGAATGAGAATAGTAAACATGTCCGCTAACATTTTTTGTCGTATCAATCTCTGACGAGTAGGGACCCTACTAGTTTCAGCATCAAACGCGCCAAGTGGACGATCGGTGCTTTTTGCAATGTAATTACTCATGAACCATTGTTGTAAAAAAAGTGACTAGTCATTGTTTTCTGCAAAGCAAAATTCACATTCAATGTGGCCGAACTTGCCCACACTCATGAAGGGAGCTACTGAGCTACATGACCTTGCTCACCGGCACCAAACCTCTCACCGAAGGCCCGGAGCCGGTTGTGGGTGTGGTATTCGCAGTGGTTGGCAGGGATGCTGAGGTACTGGGGATCATCTCGCGTGGCATGATGCGGCAGGCGCCCAGGTTATTGTCAGTTTGCCACCAAAGAGAACAAGCAGAACTTCTTCTTTTTTTGAAACGGAGGCAAAAAATTTGCCTCATCTATTAAATGAGAAGGATATAGTTTTCTGAAGTGTTACAAAACCTGACCCAACACCCTTCACGGCCTGACAATTACTCGCTTATTACAATTTTTCCTAGTTTCTTAGCACCGGCGGTTACCCAAAGCTTTGCCTCATTGGTTACAAGTTGAAGAAGGCTTGTAGGCGCGCGCTCTTGTGGCGAAATATCCTAGCATTTCTCTCATTCCAAATTGTCCACGAGACAATCATAGTGAGGGAGGCCATAGCTCGCCTGTGGGGGTTCATCATGTCGGTCCTCTTGTCCCACCGTTCAAAGAGGGATGCGTGGAGATGCCAAGTGGTGGTGTCTATGTGCGCAAGCCCAAATTTTTGGATGACCATGTTCCATAACCATGTAGAGTAGTGGCACCGAACGAAGAGGTGAATGGTCGTCTCTTGTTCTCTCTTGCATAGGGGGCAAAGGCCACAGTTTGCCCAGCCACGACGCTCCAAGCGGTCGGCAGTTCAAACCCGCCCTTGCAATGGAAGCCATGCGAAAAACTTAAATTTCGAAGGGGCCCAGGCTTTCCACACCATGAAGTCCACATGAGATAGCGTCAGACCTAGGAACTGTGCCTTGTAAGCAGGGGACACTGAGTAGATCACGTCCATGGAGTGCTTCCACACTATGTCGTCCTCGGCGTCGTCATCTATGTGAAAGTCATGAGTGAGCATCCAAAGGGTGAAGAACTCCCGCACGTGGTCGCCGGTGATGACGGTGTCCCTCTTAATCTGAAGCATCCAAGCGTTCGCCCTGAGGGCGTCGCGCCTTCCAAGTTTTCCTCCTTGAGGCTTCAAAGATCAGAGGGGCAATGTCCTTGGGCTTGCGGCCAAGAAGCCAAGGGGAGTCCCAAAAAGGTGTTTTTGCACCATTGCCCATGACTATCGTGGTGGATGCATAGAAGAAATCATGGTCTTCAACAGTACATGGGTTACCCAAACCCACCCAAAGTTTGCTCGGGTCCTTCCATTCGTACCACATCCATCTCAACCTTAATGCACGAGCAAACTTGTCAGTGTCTACCACCCCGAGGCCTCCGTATGCTGAAGGGTGGCAAACAATTTCCCAATTGACTTTGCACTGCGCGCCGGTTGTCTTGTCAGATCCAGACCAAAGGAAGGCTCTCTCAATCTTGTTCAGGTTGTGGAGAGTTCCTTGCGGAACAATCAATGGTGTGATGGAGCATATCGCTTGAGAAGCGACCACAGATTTGACAAGCGTCGTTCGACCAATGGTGGTGATGTTCTGGCCCTCCCAAGTGACCAACTTGCCAGCCGCTTTGTCCTCCAGATATTGAACATCGATTTTCCGAAGCTGCCAAACCGATAGCGGAAGGCCCAAATATTTTATGGGAATAGAGGCCCGTGTCGCCGGCATATTGCTGAGGATGTGTTCGAGGTCCAGGTTGGCACATCTAATGGGCACCATGGAACTTTTTTGGAGATTGGTGCACAGGCCCGTGACATCGCCGAAGCCTCTGAGGATGATCGACAGGTTGTCGATGTCTGACTTGATCGGAGCCATGAAAACCGCCACGTCGTCGGCGTACAAGGAGGTTCTCACCATGGCCCGTCGCCCGCGAAGCTTGTGAATAAGGCCCTGATGAGTTGCCAGCTCAAGGATGTGGTGAAGCGGGTCTATTGCCAGCACGAATATCAGAGGCGAAAGAGGGCCCCCTTGCCTGAAACCGCTGCCATGCTTAATGGGTGGTCCAGGGGTGCCGTTGGCGTATGCACATGAATCGGGTAGGAATTGGGGTTTGTGTGGGTTGTCACCCTGCCCCCGCGTTAATCGTTGTGGACTATGAGGGCATCTCCAACAGTCGTAAGATAGGTTGTTGGTTAATTTGCCACCTAGGACATAGTGATGATGTGGCATATAATAAATATGGAGAGAGAGCAAAGTTGTATGTAGATTAACCAACAGCCTTTGCACAAGCTCCAAGGTGAAATAGAGAGCAATCACATTTATTTCTCACCATCTATTGGATAGCTTACATACAACCTATTGAAGTAGTTGTATGATAGCTTGTTAGTTGATGACATGGAAATTTTACCAACAAGACTAACATACAACCTGTTGGAGATGCCCTGACGGGCAGCCGCGAATGACCACAAAACGTGATAGTTTCCGCAATCTAAGTTTCTCCGAGGCCACATTTACTGTAATAGGAGAGTTAATCAAGTTCCGAATGAGATTGCTAATTTTTTTTGTCTATATGAACTGAAACTCGATCGGCCTAAGTTTCTCCATCTCTGTGAAGGAAACTCGGTACCTTTTTCTTTACAAGAAACTCTCGGCACCTGACTGCAGCAGCTCAAGTTCTTTTTTCCTAAACACGCAAGAGCTTTGCGTGTTGATGCATTTAAGATAGGATAGAACAAAAGAGTTTAAGTTACATGATGCTAAAGAAGAAAGTCTCTAGCAATCCACATCCACCCCAAGCCTATGAGAATTTCATGTCTCTTGTTCTCCCACTGTCCTTACTTCACTCCTCTTCATGTGCCAAGCTAGTTTCCTTAGCCTTGACTCCACAAGGATTTTGTTTGCCACATCTCTGTCCGAGGTTGAGATGTTATCAGAAGTTCGCCGGTTCCTCTCTTTCTAGATGGAGAACATCAACAGAGTGATTATCACGCTGTCTTCCTTTCTGTCTGCCCTCGAATAATTAGCGAGCACCTCCTCCCGCCGACGCACGAGAACTGAATTTTGCTAAAGGCATGGGATGGCCATATTCAGAGCTACGGTCACCAATGGCCAGACAGTTCCTGGAGAATGGGCACTGCATTACAAGATGATTCATCGTTTCAGGCTCCTGAAGGCACAGCGTACACAACAGTTGGTGCTGAGGCCCTCGATCTTGAAGACGATCCTCTCCATTTGCCCTCCACAAGGATTCTCTTCAGGACCAGCAGTTCAAGTTTGGTATCCAGACTCCGTGACCACTAAACGATTCATGTGCACATTATTAATAACCAAGCCTTGCCAAAACATGATCCTCGCTACATTACCATCTCAGGAGGTGCGAACTCAACTGACAGGTAGAAGGCGCCCCGTTAAATTCAAATTCAGAAAGCACTGGCCAGGGGTCTGGTAAACGGCTGAACAATTGAACAATTTTGTGAAACAAAAATTGCTATGGATCCCAGCGATCAACTAATGTCTAGTATATCAGTAAGTGTCAATTTTGTCAGATAAAATCTGACAAAGAATGTGGAATTATCAATGCAAAAAGCCAGCTACTGTTGTCATGGCGAAATAGTCCCAAAGGCAAGCGAGATCAACTCGTTGGACAGCAGAAATCCATCCGGGTCACTCAGACGGAGGAAGGCCACCCTGCTCCCGGTCATCTCTCCCTCGCTTTCCAAATCCGACTCAAACTCACTGAACTGCAGGGCCTCTCGCTCCTTGTCCATGGGAATCACCAGCCCACTCTCAACAAAAGGCCTGAACGTATCACACAATGACCGTGTCAGGCCCTCTCCAAAAGATTTACTGAAACTGTGCAGATCTAGCCCGCGAGCTGTTCTCAGTGATAGCATCACCGAGTCCATAGCCATATCCTTCGTCTCGGAGACGCTGGACTCATGGCACCAGGTGCCGTCTTCCAGCTTCTGAACCCAATCTGCGTAGTTCTTCATTCCTCTGGGCCTCGAGTACCTGACACCGTTGATGTAGCTTGCTGATCCAAGGCCAAACGCATAGAACGGCCTGTTTTGCCAGTATGTTACGTTGTGCTTGCACTCGTAACCAGGCTTGCAGTAGCTACTGATCTCGTAGTGTTGATATCCTGCTTCAGAAAGCCGTTTCGAAGCTATCTTGTAGAAGTTCGCAGAGTCTGTCTCATTTGGGAGAGGAAATACACCAGGCGTATAGCTGCAACATTTAATATGAAAAGAATGAGATTGGCATCAGTATGACACATATTTACGTGAGTTCGCTTGATCTTTAATACAAAAATGTCAGTGCAAATTAATATGTGACGAAATTGTTAGAAACTTGGCCTTAGTGGTATAATGCAATTGGCTGCGTAATACCCCCCCAAAAAAATTCAGTTAAGCCCTTTAACTTCGCAACTATCAGCATCATGAGTCAGAGAAGAAGACTGAACTTCTTTATCTGGAATGACATAACCTTCACGAACAGTTAGACAACAATCAGAGCTACGGTTCAGTTCTTACTCAATTGTAGTAACACTTTACAATATATCAAAGATAGTGTAAACGATACGACGAAAAGGGCAAGACTACTGTAGTCCACGGACAAGCTAGCAAGGAGAAATTCCATGCCAGACGAATCGTAGCACTGGTTAGATGCCACCTAAAGTAAAATTGCAACTTGGACGACAAATGAAGAGGAAAAAATCATTATGCCCGCCTGGGACGTGGTGCCATGTTGCCCTAATGCATAAGAAAAAGAAGCCATTAGATGTCTAGACGGTGTCCAAAAAGCGCCGGTCTGCACTAATCAGGCCGATGTCGATTCAGAGCAATTGCCCGATGGTGGTTAATGCCCTCAAGCCTCACAATTAGTGGTGGCATTCGAGAGGTTTGTCTCCTGTTGCCTGAACTCTCAAGTCACAGAATTCTAAAAGCAGGGTCACAGGGTATCGAATGGTTTAGCTCCGCACTGTGGAAAGGTGGTTCATGGTTGTGTCAGTGTTCTACAAGATACAGTCCTGGCCTGCCTGTTGGTTATGATTACTGCATGATTGTAATCTCAGCTCTGCAACTTATTAATAAGTAGCCCCTTTCCAACAAGAGAAGACTGAGCTTGTACAACACAAACAAGTGCAAATCGAAGCTAATCGTGTGAAGATGATGGTTGTAGTGTGTTAGTTTTCCCCCAATTCTTTATCTATGGAACGAACCACCACAAACCACACACATATTTGTCAGGACCGATAATATTTTCAAGATAGGCCATAGGAGTAGTCATGCACAGAATGAACTCACATTTGCCCAAACTTGGTGCCCTGCTCGATCTGCAGGTCGTAGACGGAGACATGCGTGGGGCGGGCATCGACGGTGCACCGCAAGCTCTCCTCCCACATCTCCTGGGTCTGGTTGGGCAGGGAGGAGATGAGGTCCATGCTCCAGTTCTGGAGGCCCTCGCAGGCGGTCACGATCCCGACGGCCTCGTGCACCTCCCGCAGGCCGTGCGCGCGGCCGCACGCCCGGAGCAGCTCCTCCTGGAACGCCTGCACGCCGAGCGAGACCCGGTTCACGCCCACGCCCACCAGCTCCCGCAGCTTGGCCGCGTCGAACGTGCCGGGGTCCATCTCGATGGACACCTCCGGGCACGCGGACAGCCCGAACCGGCCGCGCAGCGCGTCGAGCACCGCGGCCACCAGCCTCGGCGGGACCAGCGACGGGGTGCCGCCGCCGAAGAAGATGGTCTGCAGCGGCACGCCGTCGTCGGAGACGGGACGCGTGGCGGCCACCTCCCGGAGCAGGAGGCGCACGTAGTCGGCGATCCGAGGGTCCTCGCCGTCGCCCGCGCCGCCGGGGGAGGCCGCGGAGGAGCCGAGCGCCACGATGGGGAAGTCGCAGTAGTGGCAGCGCTTGCGGCAGAAGGGGAGGTGCACGTAGGCGGATGCAGGGGGGAGCGGCCGTGGCGGAGGAGGCGGCGGCGGGACGGCGGCGGCGGCGGGGGAGGCATACCGACGAACAGGTTGTGGGCGGGGTGGGCGGATTGGGGGCGGTTTCCTGTGCGGCAACTGGAAGACGAGAGGGAAGGCTGATCTTAGCATTACTGACCACTCGCCTCCCTCCGAAGGCTCCTCCCGGTGGACTGGTGTACTAGAAAGAGTATAAAACTGAATTTTATATGAATCCCAAATAGATTTTTTAAAAGTAACAACCCAACTTTGTTGTTGATAAATTACACAAAGTGCATCAGATCAAACAAAGACGGGAATAGCAAAGGGCCAAGATAAAACAAAAATTTACATCAAAGTCCTCTGTAGTCATTGACTCTAGATCCATGTCTTGTATCTTGATTTTTTTTTCCATACATCTAGTGAAGAAAAAGTAGAATCTCGCAAAAAAAAACATGAACCATAAAAGACCTAACCTGCACAAATTGTACTGATTTCAAACGTTTTCAAGACTCGTATGGACCGTCCACTTCAACGGGTGTCAAGTTAGGATCGGTGACCTGTATTATGGTCAGGGGGACACACTGCTTGCAAGAGTCGCCATATTATCGGGGAAGAAAACCAGGAGCACAAAAGAACGAATATACATACCTAGTGATGAGGGCATGCTTGACAATACTATTGTGGCCACACCACCGGATAGGCCCAAGCATCGGACGACAATCTACAAGGGCATCAATCATCGATCTACGAGACAAAAACACCGTCAAATCCGCTGTAGATTGTATCGGCCACGATAGCCACACTAGGATGAAGATAAAAACCACGAGAATTGTTTCGTGTAATGCCGCCTCCACATCTATAGTTTGTTGTCAAGGGCACATAAAAAATGTTGAAGAAAAGCAATCTGGACTATGAGCATTGATCGATAACCCCTCCCCCTCTCACCTTTGAAAGTTGAATAGGATGTTGGACGGGAAGCCAGAGCTTAAGCACGTGTGTTTCCTAAGTGTTTTTTTTTGCTTGTTTTCTTTCCTACTTAAAATGAACGCAAGGTTTTATCGTCCATCTCACCCTTGCTCCAACCTTACTTATGTTTCCCCTTCATCTCTCCGTTTTGATGTTTTTCTTGTATCTTTGGGTTTTTATTGGTTTTCCTTGAGCATCGTCTTCACTGGCTCGTGACATATCAAATAAAATTATTTTTCTCAAAAAAAGTTATGTTTTCTTTGAAAAGCCTTACAAAATAAAATCCTAAAATTTATTTGGGTAGGTAAATAGTAAATATACACAATCACATGTATATGGACAGTCAAATTACAGGCTAACATACCACGTTGCAAGCACGTGTGATTATCTAGTCCTTTTTATAAGAAAAAACATTCTCTCCAAAAGAGGGGAAAGCAACAAACCAACTTTTGGTTGGATGATTAGAAGAATAGTGGTATCTTCAACCCACCAAAGTTCAATTCTAGATTTGAATTAGTGCTTGCATTATTCTTGGATTTATTTCAGGCTTCCGACGATGTTCGTTCAGTGGGAGGGAACCTTACCGTCGACTGCGAAGCGCTGATGGTGAATTCGTAAAATCTCGAGATGTTATGTTGGCTTAATGTGTGCGTGTGTGCGTGTTCAAAAAAAAAAGGAAAACATAACCTAACGTTTTTTTCAGACAAATACAAAACCTAACGTCCGTGAGGCCGAGTTAACCAGGCCAATATCTGGCCCAACGCGTGGCTCGTTATGAAGGCCCAACACGTGGCTTTGCGCTTGCCTGCCGCCGCGTGCCCAATAAGCTATATATATATAGCTTGAGCCGCCGCGGCCCGCGTCCACCGCCGACGCATCAACCCCGTCGCCGCCGTCGCCATCGCCGTCCCCGTTCCCATCGTTGCGGCGTCGTCTCTGCTGTCTCCACACGCCCATGAGCTTTGGCCACTGGGTTTTGGATTCCGAGGTATGAACTTGTGATCAGTCAAACCCCCACTGATGACCTATACAATTGCAGGGCAGATGAATGCCGATGCTTCTAATCAACATGCTAACGCCACGATATCTGCTCGATTTTGTTTTCAGGAGTTTATTCCTGTAAATTCACTCGCGTGGCCGTCTCGTTGTTAATTTCGATTTTCCATTGTGAGATTGTGACAGGTTGAGCAGGATGGGGATCGCCACGGAAGGAGACCCCAGAGAGAGGGAGAACCGCCGAGGCTCTCCGGACGAGATGGAGATGAAGGTGGCCAGGTTCTCCCGGGGGAAGGCTGCTAACCTGGGGGTGAGATTGCTGCTCTGCTACTGTCCTACTAGTGCAGTTGTTGGAGATTCAGGTGCTAGATGCTCTGCCTGCTATAATACTTCAGAAGTGAAGCTGACATTTTTGGTTTTCTCCGTAACAGGATTTGCGCGACAAGAAACTGAAACAGCAGCTCGCTGGAAAGGAGAAGCTGATTGGAGTGTCCGCCAAAGCTGCCGCGCAGGCTGAAAAGGTCTGTGTTTGTGGATTTGTTGCAGAACGTGTGTGAATTTGTTGATTCATACAACATATATATATGTAGCTATCTCACTGAAAATCTCGGGGGCACTAACCAACAGGGTATGCATGACAAGGGAATCTGGCATTCTAGACTAGTGACTTGTGACAGTGTGATGTTCTAGAATATATATAGCTCTTCTTTAGCTATTCACCAGTGTCGTGTGGAACTGTTTGGATGAAGTGCTCTACTCATATGTATAGAATCCACATTTTAAATGTAAACATGGATTGATCTGGCGTTGCCGTTAAAGAGATGATGGCTAGTCGGCGAAAGACCGCCCAGTAGGTTTTCGACGAATCTACCGTGACAAGGAGTAAAATTTACTGAGTATACACATACTCTTTTTGGATCGTTTTAATTCACATTGCTTGACAATTATGGCATAGATAGATATGGCTATATGTCACTTTGAGTATGGACTCTCTTGCATAACTCCATGGTGCTCGTCGGAACATAATATAACACTGCACCCATGTAAATTCTTTGTCTACCTCATGCCTCTTGATTTTCATGCTAAACAACTATCCAGTCGAACTAACTTGTGCAAACATGAGATAATTTGCACTACGCTGATTTTTCTTTTACTCAATTTACAGTGGCTATTGCCTAGCGTTGGGGGCTATCTAGAGCCTGAAGGTCTCGAAAAGACATACAGATTTGAGCAGTGGTCGATTCTGCCAAAGGTGGACATTTGGAGTTCAAGAAAATCATTTGACATGATCTTACCTGGTAAATATGTAGATCTGTTACAGTATTATCTGAATCTGCCACCCTAGCTACATTATCCAGTACCAAAATAGCTACATGATGCCCAGCTCAGATTGACGATATCGTATTTCTTGATTCTTATTGTGTATGCCTTTATAGACTTACAATGTGGTTGTTACATATACCCTTCTTACTGTTTACGTGAAAGGAAGATGCAAGTTAGCCTGTAAAACATTTGTAACCATAACATAACATTGGCTCTATCAGCTTTGTATGACTAAACAGTTTTCCTAATTGAATAATTCAGTGAAAGAACTCTGCTGCAGGCTCTTATGTTATTTCATTAGGCATACTCTATGTTGCGACCTTGCTGAATGCTAACTGTCAGTTTCCCTAATTATGGTTTATGACCATGAGTTGTATGAGGGTGCTGACTAGCTGTTTTGTATGCAGTGCTTGGTCCTTATACTCTAGAATACACACCAAATGGGCGCTACATGATAGTAGGTGGGCGAAAAGGTCATATTGCATTTATGGATATGTTGAATATGGAACTCATCAATGAATTTGAGGTCAGCTTTCAGTATTTAAGCAGTTTGTCAGTATGCAGGTTTACTTCTCTTCTGTTCTTTTTTTCTCAGTAAAATGTTCGCTATTGAATTTCAGTGCTTTGCTCATAAATTAGACTCGCGAGAATGATCTTAGTCTGGTCCTCAATTTTGGTGGAAGTTAGCAGCACTAGAAGTTTGTGCCTTTTGTTAGACCAACTTGAAAGCAAGAACTAAATGAACGCTGGGGTTTCGTTTGCTAGTTCAAAAAATATACGCATGCGAAGGCTAAGAGCCTAAGAGGCTAAGATACCATCGAGAAATAAGGATATCTATTTTGTGTGCTCGTAAGTTGTAAGTAAAGATGATGCACATTTTAATTGATGGAAGGCGTGGGTGTTGAAGTCAAGGAACTACTTAATACTTCAGATTGTTCCAAGGTATTGAAACTAGAGTAACTGCTACCCAACAGCTTGCTCACCTTGCAGGGTTTACATTACATGGTTTAATCGCCCTTGTACTTAGTTATAATCAGCCTTGTACTCCGGTTATTCTGATAACCTGTGAGTGCACCTAGTACAAGTTGAGTTTACGACTTAGTAGACCTAGTCATTGAGTTTTTCATTTCATATGATTTGAGTGATAGCAGCTCAAATTCAGATCAAATACGCTGAGTTTACTGTAGGTAGTTTTTCTTGTTTGCCTAGAGAGGAGTAAAGTCCATTGTTTCTCTCCGTTGGTTTCCAAGGTAAGCGGGTGGTGTATGGTTGCCTAGTTCCTAGACGGTCACCTGGAACATGGTGAGCCAAGTAGCAAACCGAGCACCTGGGCCAAGGACCATGCATCCAAGAGTAAAAATTACATAGAGCGGTAAGGGAGTAGGATGGAGGGTGGATGTGGAGAATGTACAGGTCGTTGCAGCAGGCAGCTGGAGGAGGATGCTTCGTGGCGGTAGGGGAGTGTGGCTCGTGGAGTCTGGAAAATGGTGTCCCCTGCCCCCATGTTTTAGTTCATAGCGGAGCATGTAAGCAGCGCCTAATAGCATCTTTTGAACCTTGATGAAAGAAAGCGGACCTGATCCCTTCGCATTGTTTGTCCCTCGTAAAAAAGGAGAAATTTCTATATAAGGATACCACGAATGTTGACACAAACTGAATGGTCTAGATAGAGGGTACACTGGCACAAAAAATCCACACTCGATTCTAATATTGTCCCCTACTTTTCTCTGACATCAGCCTCTGGTTTTTATAAAATCACTGTGACTGTAGACATCTCCAACATTATTTCTTGTTGCACCTCATATAAGTATTGTACTTCTCTGATCTTACCTTTTTTTATAGGTGAAGGAAACTGTGCGCGACGTGGCATTTTTACAGAACGAGCAACTCTTTGCAGTCGCCCAGAAAAAGTAATTTATTGACTCTACTCAAGCTTTGCGACATATTTCCATTTCTCATGAAGTATATCAACATGTTCCATGTGCTAAAAAAGATGTAATAAGATGACCCCTACAGCTTGATGATGTAAAGTAAGGATGCACAAACCCATGCTCAACAAAATAAGAACCGTTGTCAGAATAAGTTTGATCTGTGGACCAATCAGGCTATAGAATTATGCAACACATGCCAACATGATTCGCTACATCATTTCCTTGTACACTTTCCCAAAAGTGGGGCATTATCATAAAAATGGCATCGGTGAACAAGTCTAATTTCTAGCAGTTTCTTGAATTGTTAGTGCGTACAGCATAGAATTGCCTTCTGACTTCAATATTTGAGAAATGGGTTGTTGCTCTGGACTCTGGAACTGTTTTTTTTTGGTAAGCCGTGTATTAATACTCTATGTGCAAATGGTGCTTACAAGTTGTGAAGGGCTGATTATGCTAATGAATCCTGTACTTTGTTAGTTCCTCACAAGAATATTGAATATTGTTGTAACAGGTATCCCTACATATATAATCGTCATGGCACAGAAATTCACTGTCTAAAGGTAATCATGGTTTGAATACCTCCATGTTCTTCGTAACTTTGCCCTGGTTATTGATGGTTCTGAGGAAGTTGTTGTAACTTGTAAATGTTGGTAACATGCTTTAATATGTAGAAATAGTAGTAATATATGTTCCTGTTCTTCTTTTTTAAGAACTCCACGGAACTAATGATTAATAGAACTCGAGTTTTTATGTTAGGTACAATCAAGTGATTTGTTCTTCGATCAGCTAATCGCAATACAGAACCTCCCTTTTTTGAACTTGGAAAACTAGCAAAGTAGTGCCCAAACCACGTGTCGCTGTCAATGTCCATGTCAGTGTACATCCAGACACATTTTTGATAACTGAAAGCTTTGTGGTGGTAAAATAGCACCATGCAAATAGCTGAATTGATTGTTCCTTTGTTAATGAGTGAGATACTTTTTTCCCCCGAGGCTTTCAAAATAAACTTTATTAATACTAAAACAGTTGGGTACTGCATTTTTTTTGTCGGAAGGAATTACTATGGACAGTGCTTCTGTTTCTTAAGCATCATAACACTAGTGTAGCGACACCTTCATAGCTATCAGTCAATCATCGAATTTGTACCCAATGCATCTCCACGAAAGGCGTGCTATCTCCAAAATACTTCTTTTGGGAGTCTTAACAGTGATCACTCTTCCATTTCGCAGGAACATGGCGAATCGCTGAAGCTTCAGTTTCTGGATAAACACTTACTCTTGGCATCGATAAACAGCTTCGGGCAGCTCCACTACCAAGATATGAGCACTGGTGAGATGGTTGCAAACTACAGCACAGGTCTTGGACGTACGGACGTGATGCGGGTAAATCCCTACAATGCCGTCATTGGCCTTGGGCATGCTCGTGGGAAACTCACAATGTGGAAGCCAACCAGTGCGAAACCCCTTGTCACAATGTTGTGCCATAAGGGTCCTCTGACTGCAGTCGCATTTGACAAGGGTGGTCACCTTATGGCAACTGCAGGTGCTGATCACCGGAACCGGAAGATTAATATTTGGGATCTCAGGAAGTTTGAGGTTGTGCATTCATACGCCGCACGTGCTCAGTCCCTGGATTTCAGCCAGAAGGGGTTGTTGGCGAGCAGCAACGGATCTCTAGTGGAGATATACAGGGATTGCGGGGGCCAGGACTATAAAATCTATATGAAGCACAGAATGGTAAAGGGATATCAGGTGGGCAAGGTTTTGTTCCGCCCTTACGAGGACATCTGTGGGATCGGGCACTCCATGGGCTTCTCCTCCATGCTCGTTCCTGGATCAGGCGAGCCAAACTTCGATACCTTTGTTGACAACCCCATGGAGACCGGGAAGCAAAGGCGGGAGAAGGAGGTGCGGTCCCTCCTTGACAAGCTCCAACCAGAGACCATCATGCTTGATCCGAATGTGATAGCCACTCTAAGACAACTGAAGAAGAAAGAGAAGAAGACTAAGAAAGAGATCAAGGACGAGATTGAAGGTGCCGTCGAGGCCGCCAAGAACATTAGGGTCAAGAAGAAGACCAAGGGTAGGAGTAAGCCGAGCAGGCGGGCCAAGAAGAAGGAGGAGGAGGTTCTCAGAGCCAAGAGGCCTTTGTTGGATCAACACAAGGAAGCCAGTGGGCACCCTGACAAGAAACTGCGGATTGGCAATGACACCGAGCTGCCGAAAGCATTGCAGCGGTTTGCCAAGAACAGGCAATCGTGATCTTAGTTATCAACTTATCATTATCGGAGTATTATGTAAAGGAGTAGCTGGCAAGTGAACTTGTTAGAAAAATATGCACCAAAATTTTATTCTGTGCTGGGCATTACGTTCTCCAGGTTGAAGTTTGGTTTAGGTCAGCTCTTCTTCCTGGGCTGGCGTATCTTTTATGTTTGATGATGATGAGGTTGAGGCTTGAGAGGCCCGTTTGATCTAATTACTTGTGCCTTGGTGGTGTCTAACACTGTTCTATGTGCCGAGCTCCAATTCCTATTGGAATTCACAACACTGTTTTCGTAGGATAAATGTCCTTTGGGTCAGAAATACCCGACCAATGCAGCATAGAAAGAAACAAAAAGCATAGGTCTGGTGGTTACTGCTGGGAAAGGGGGCATGTGTTACTTGTGTATATGTTTTTCGGTTGTAGCATGAAGAAACTATCAAATTCCACCGAAAATTATACATAACAGTTTCCTGTTCCCAACCTTAGTTGTCGCCACCGCCGAAGGTCTCCTCCACAGTCCACACTGCTGTCTCGGCCCCTCCTCTCCCCTGTCCGACGTTCTCGTCGTCGGCAATACGAGTGGGGACCTGTTTGATTTCTTTTTCTTTTTTATTAGGTTTTGTTTCCATGGCAGTGGAGGCGATGAAGGCAAGTTATTGACAAAAAACTACCGCTTTAGGGGTTTGCGTCCCACTGAACTATCATGTCACTATCATCCAAGGCAGCAAGATATAGTCATCATGCAGGTTGCCCTATTATTAGCCATGGCTTTAGGCAGCCAATCCTTTTTAATGAACGTGCGTTGATTCCAGCAATCAAGTCTTGAGATTCATGTCACTACATAGGAGGCCTATCCCCAAAATCCAATCAAATCATTCCTATGCACGTCCTCACCTTCGACTATATAAGAAGCCTACCCCAATCTCCCTCCTGTCATCTCCAAACACAGCTCCCCATTTCTCTCTTACTCCTCCAGAAGAAGAGCTCCCGCAACAATGGCGGTTTCGTCGAAGCTTTTCCCGGCCGCCGTCCTTCTCCTGCTTCTCCTCCTGGCCACAGGTAATTGACTGTTTGTTTCTCCTGATAGCCTTAGTAACTTCAAACCTAACCTGAGACTGATCGTTCTTGATGCGTGCAGAGATGGGGCCTGTGCGGGAGGCGACGGCATGCGAGCACGCTCCGTGCAAGAAGTGCACCGGATCGTGCTTCGACCCGGAGGAGTGCGCCATCACGTGCCGGAACGAGGGCTATGACTCCGGCGACTGCACCGGCAGCGGAGCCTACCGCTGCACGTGCAGCAAGAATTGCTAGCTAGCTAGTGCGTGAAGAACACACGAGTAGAATAAAAAGGGAATTACAGTTCTGTGCTACTCTAGTTTGTTCTTTTCTTTTTGACCTTGGATTTTGTTCGAAGGTTCACACGAATATGGCCGAAACTCAGTGGACTCCACTAGGGCCCAGTTCTGAGATTATTTTGTATCGCACAAATTATGTACTAAGAGAGATTTCTCTCAAAAAAGAATACTAAAAGAGAGTAATTGTTAGTCACAGGTTTGTCCCTCAGAACAGGAGTGTACGGTGGGCAATCAAATTGACATGGCAAACATCCAAAACAGATTAGCAAAAGTCCGACAAGTGGGGTTAACCAAAAAAGTTTGGGTAGAGCCAGATCTAAGTCTTGGCTAGATAAACGCCCTGCGATAAGAGGGTAGTTATGAACCTTGTGTTGATTTGAGGGGAAAAAAGAGTCAAAATCCAATCGAAACCTTCATATGCACATCTTCCTCTTCAACTACATAAGACACAAAATAAACATGTCATCTTAACCCTTCAGAACTATCTCAGTGGCGGTTTCTCGGTCATCCTTCTCCTGCCCACATGTATGTTGTAATTGATTGTGATATTGGGTGCTTATCAAAGTTTTAAATAGCGCGCTAAGCATCTTAGCGGCGGACCTCTTCCAAATGCTATAGCGTGCTATAGCGGAGCTATAGCGTGCTATTTAAAATGTTTGTTCATTTGTTTGGATCAAAGTCTCTTAGCGCAAGACCCTTTGTAAACGCTATAGCGTGCTCTAGCGGAGCTATAGCGGGCTATTTAAAACAGTGGTGCTTATGCATGCATGGATTAAACGTCTCCAACCACAATGGTCATTTACCACAATGAGGGTCTGCTTTAGACCCTCATTTGTCAAGGTACAGAACGATATTTCTTAATCCATTTTCAAATTGTCTAAACACAAGCACATGGTTGATAGGGTGGTCAATTCTCCATTAGTGAAAGGAAAGAAGAAAAAGGTCAAAGATGGGCCGGTCGGACGGACTATCCGGACACCTCCGTTTCTTTCACACATGGCTGGGTTAGTGGATTTGCGGACAGCCATGGCAAACGGAGGTTTTTGAGGACTCGGTTGAAGAGGCTTCTTTTGTACGTATCCACACCAAAGTTTTAAATAGCGCGCTAAGCATCTTAGCGGCGGACCTCTTCCAAATGCTATAGCGTGCTATAGCGGAGCTATAGCGTGCTATTTAAAATGTTTGTTCATTTGTTTGGATCAAAGTCTCTTAGCGCAAGACCCTTTGTAAACGCTATAGCGTGCTCTAGCGGAGCTATAGCGGGCTATTTAAAACAGTGATCCACACACTGTCCGGATATATAGATATATGAGGACGATTTGAGTGTCTGGTTGAAGACCCTCTTACATAAGGATCTGCAAATACAGGTTCTTTCAGGTGAAAAAAAAAATCTCATTTTTTTGTGTGAAACATTGACAAAATGTTTGTACTTGCAAAATTTCATCACCATATTACATTCGTGGAAATCGAGGCAAAAGAAACAAAATCGATGCTCCATATATTTTGGAGCATTGATTTTTTTTGCCACATTTTCCAGGGATTTCATTTCATGATGAAATTTGCGATCTAACAAACATATCATCAATGTTTCACACACAAAAAAATTAGTTTACTGTTCACACACGCTCACATGAGCTCGGGCTTAGAACATCACTTTCGTTGACAAAATATATTTCTTTGTCTAGCATAGATTCATTCATACGTGCTAGAAATTCTTGGAGCTGCCACTTACACTCAGAGTTGGCAGCTAGGTGTTGTGAAATACTCCCTTCATTCCCTTATATACGGTGTATTTACTTTTAGTTCAATTTTACTAAAATTTTACAAGTTAAGGTGTATTTATGCAAATCTCACATATCCTCGTTTCTATGCCTCCACCCTCATGTACGAACAACCTCACACAAGAATCAGTGCCGAAAGCTAGTATCATATCATGATCCTGTATCTTAATAAAACTAATTACTACTGTGTGTCGTGCAAAACAACAAACAAGATTATCTAAGATTGTAATGTAGTACTACCTTCGTCCTGGTTTATTGGTCATCTTTGTAATTTGTGCCAAAGTTTGATCAAATATTTAATTAACAAAATGTTAATGCATGTCAACAAAAACATGACATGTATTACATTTTATTAGTTAAATCTATGGTTAAAATTTGACATAATTTACAATTAATGGGACCAATAAACCAGGACGGAGATAGTATACACTATGGAGTTAGCATCATACACTGCGAGTAGTCTAACCGTACGTGCATGCAATTAGCTAGATGCGGCCATGTGGGCCACCAGATCATTTGTTTCCCAATGGAAACGCATGCAACATGTATTTCTGTTTTTTAGAGATACTTCTGAGGGGGGAAATGTTGTTGGGGTACGTAGCAGAAATTTCAAAAATTTCCTACGAGTAACAGAGATCTATCTATGGAGAGACTAGCAACGAAAAAGAGGGGAGTGCATCTACATACCCTTGTAGATCGCTAAGCGGAAGCGTTCAAGAGAATGGGGTTGAAGGAGTCATACTCATCGTGATCCAAATCACCGGAGATCCTAGTGCCGAACGGACGACACCTCCGCATTCAACACACGTACAGCCCGGTGACGTTTCCCATGCCTTGATCCAGCAAGGAGAGAGGGAGAGGTTGGGGAAGACTCCATCCAGCAGCAGCACAACGACGTGGTGGTGATGGAGGAGTGTGGTGATCCAGCAGGGCTTCGCCAAGCACCGCGAGAGACAAGGAGAAAGAGAGGTAGGGCTGCGCCAGGGAGAGGTGGAAACTCATGTGTATGGCAGCCCCAAAACCTCAAGTATATGTAGGGGAGAGGGAGGGGGCTGCGCCCCCTTTAGGGTTCCCACCCCAAGGGGTGCGGCTGCCCCAAAAACCCATCTAGGGTGGCGGCCAAGGGGGGAGAGGGGGGAAAAACTTGCCCCCCCCAAGCAAGGTGGAGGCGCCCCCTCCCCAAACCCTAGGCGCCTTGGGCCCTTCTGTGTGTGGGGGGGGGGCGCACCAGCCCACCTGGGGCTGGTCCCCTCCCACACTTGGCCCATGCTACCCTATGGGGCCGGTGGCCCCACTTGGTGGACCCTCGGGACCCTCCCGGTGGTCCCGGTACATTACCGATAACATCCGAAACTTTTCCAGTGACCAAAACAGGACTTCCCATATATAAATCTTTACCTCCGGACCATTCCGGAACTCCTCGTGACGTTCAGGATCTCATCCGGGACTCCGAACAACATTCGGTAACCACGTATATCTATTCCCTATAACCCTAGCGTCATCGAACCTTAAGTGTGTAGACCCTACAGGTTCGGGAACCATGCAGACATGACCGAGGCGTTCTCCGGTCAATAACCAACAGCGGGATCTGGATACCCATGTTGGCTCCCACATGTTCCTACGATGATCTCATCGGATGAACCATGATGTCAAGGACTCAATCAATCCCGTATACAATTCCCTTTGTCTAGCGGTATTGTACTTGCCCGAGATTCGATCGTCGGTATGCCGATACCTTGTTCAATCTCGTTACCGGCAAGTCTCTTTACTCGTTCCGTAACACATCATCCCGTGATCAACCCCTTGGTCACATTGTGCACATTATGATGATGTCCTACCGAGTGGGCCCAGAGATACCTCTCC